CCGAGATGGGACGCTAAAAGTCAAGGTTAATGTGCTGCCAGCAAATTGTCGGCCGGCCAGCGCGACATCAAGGGCGGCACGACATCATAAGCCGATTTTCAACGCCTGCCGCCAAAAAGTTCAAATATAATGTGTATGTGTGTGTGTGTGTGTGTGTGTGTGGCAGCGTGTGAATTGTGACACAAAGCCTTAGAAATTGGTTTTCAAATTTTGAGTCTGCGGCAGGGCGATTAATTACAGATCAGGGGCTTTTGGATGGCAGGCAAGATGCAATTGGGAAACAGACTTACACAAAATGCCAAACAGGCGCACCAATAAAAATTGTTTCTACCAATAAATGAAAATAGCAGCAGCAGTAGCAGCAACAACAACAACTAGACAGACAGACAGACAGACAGACAGCTAATGATAATGGTACAAAATCATAAAACAGCATGCCATTTTAAGGCTGCAACTTCATTGCTGTTGCAGCTCCATCAGTTGCTCAGTTAGTCAGTTAGTCAGTTAGTCCGTTGCTCATTTACTCCGTTCAGTCAGCCGACAGTCGCTCAGTCGTCTCAGCATACATACTCGTACATATTTAGACTTTTCTTGTTGGCTTTTAATAGACGCTCGCTGCGCAATGACTGCGCTGATTAAGGGAATTTCTCACAAGACGCCAGAAACCAGATTAAACTAAAGCACCAGCACGGAGCTATTGCCAAACGCTTGTCAGCATCATCGTGGCTATATTGCTTATTGCTGCTGCTGCTGCCTCTGTTCGTAGTATTTACTCGTATTATGAATCTTGTGGTGGGTAAAAAGACACGCTTTTCTCGAAGGTGAACCAGAACTGAACTAAACTGAACTGAGTCTGCATGAGCGTCTCATTGAATTCAATTGCGGTTGCCACAGCCACAGCCACAGAAGCAGCATCCACAACGGCCATTGAAGAGTGTCTGTCTGATTGTCTGCCCCTCCAACAATCCGTTTGTCTGTCGATCGTTCGGTCTTCTCATCTTTGAAAGTGAGTGGCTGACAACAATTCTAGAGCTCGCGCGTCTGGCGCAAATTTATTGCCGCATTTTATTTTAATTAAGCTAATTGATGGTAATTTTTCTTGAAATTATTATTATACGCTCAAATGCTAAGTTAAATGTTGGTTTGCGCATAATGTTGCTTGCTACTGCATCCGGTATATATCCGTGTAGTTATTTACACCAAGTTTGTTGCCCAAGTCTTTTGATGGCACCTCTATATGATCGGGCGTGTATGCCTCATGTGGAGGCCAGGAAGTTATAATTGTTGGGCTGAGCAACTTTTTTGCCCTAATCGCCCAGCTGATGCGATGCTATCAACGTGAATGCATGAAATCAAGTTCGTTGCTCAAGTCTTTCGTTTACAACAGCCAACAGCAACGTTATGATGTTCGCCAGCAATCAACACATCAATTAAACGGCATCATCAATTTATAAAGGGTTACAGCTCAATCAAGTTCGTTGCTTAAGTCTTTTGTTGTCGCTGCATTGCTCATTCAATTTAATAAACAAACAAATTGGGAATTTGCGCCAATTTTGTACACACTTTTGCACAGTTTGGTTTTTGAATTTTTCATTATTTATTTGCGACACAAATTCGTAATTTGAAACATAAACAAACCAAACCAAAGCCGCAAACAAACGGCCGCCAATGCTGCAATGCAGCTGCAGCTTCTTCGGCTAAACGCAACAACAACGACAACAACTACAACTATTTAGCCCTGAATGAGAGCCCGAAATGTGCAAACGAGCCAAGCAAGCGCCAATTGCACGATGATTTAGTTTCGGCCTGGCGCTCAGCAGCGCGTCTCTATGTCGTTTTTTTTTTTTCTTCATCGGCATTGCCGACGATGAGTTGCCGTTTGTCGCCAATGCACAGTGGTTCCAAACTGACCGCCATTATTTATAATCTAAAAACTAAAAGTTTATTTATTTATTTGCTCCCTTTATGGTCAGATTAGAAAAAAAATGATTGTAAATGTAAAATATCAAATCGTATTTGAATTTTATTCACAGATCAGATGTTCATTTAACTTGTGAAATTGGAGATATATGAAGATTTTAATTGCTATTATAGAGAGAGAGAAAGAGAGAGAGTAAACCAATTATAGATCAATCGTAAGTTATTCTTAAGGAAGCATTGCTTAAAACTTTATTCTAGATCACGAAGAACAAATTGTAGAGATATTTTAAAAATTTACTTGCGAAATTGGAGATATATGATATATATTGATGTGTGAAGATTTTAATTGCATTTATAGAGAGAAAGAGAGAGAGAGAGATTTAACCAATTATAGATCAGTTGTGAGATATTCTTAAGAAATTATTGTTTAAAACTTTATTCTATCTTTCATATATTCTTTATTATCACAAAGAACAAATTGTAGAGATAGTTTAAAAATGAACTAGAAAATTCAATGGACAGATACTTGTATTTTCAAAATGGAACTAGAAAACGCAATAGATCCAGTAAACTAAGCAGTCCCGGGAACAGTGCCAGAATAAATATAGAAACGTTTACTGCAACTAATAAATAAACGACTTCTCTCTCTTAAATAGGGATCTTCAATCCCTTTTATAATACTCAGCTTTGATACTCCACATACACCTCTTTGGTGAATTTATTTCATTATCTCTATAGCTAGTGCACTTTTTACTGATACTTCAAACGATATACAATTGTGTATGTACATTTCAAATATTTTTTAATTTTTTGTAATAAAATCTTTTTTCAATTATTTTTTAATTTGGAACCACAGTGCCCAGTTGTTGTTGCTCTTTGGCAATTGCGGGTTTTGGTGTTGGAGCATAGAAGAAGTTGCTGCCTCCAACTCCGCTTTGGTTCAACGATGACGATGTGTATTTTGTGAGCTCGCTCATCCGTTAGTTGAGAGCCAACGGCTCTATGGCTGCTCTGCGGCTGCTCTTGAGTATAAAACTAAAATTGATGCGAATTTTTTCTAACTTTTGCATCCAGTCCAAGCGCGACAACACGTGCAGTCCGGGCAGCGCAACGCGTTACTTCGCTCGACAAACAAATATCAAGAGGTTTCGAAGTGATCGGCTAAGTGCGTGGTTGAAATTCAAATTGAAATATCCGTTGCATAAGTAAGCTGTAAGAGTTCTCATAAGGAGCAAATCAAATACTTATGTAACGGCGTTAACAAATTATAAATGAGTATCATATTTTAAATAGATAAATAAATAAGATTGATATGAGAAATTAATGAGAAATAAGTGAATAGTACTTTCTAAGAATACTAACTTTTTATAACTATTTGCTCCTTAGAGTACCTTTATAAAGTGAAAAACAATTTTGGTGCAATATTTGGGACTATTCTGTTCAAATTGAACTTGAGTGCTATATATTTTAAGTAAAAATGATTTAAACAACAACACAAAATAAAAAATATATATATTATAAACTGAAAAAAGAAGCCATATAATTTAGCAAACTATTTAACACATAATCATGTGATTTTGTTGTTTGCTCTGTGCATTGTTGTTCTTTAGTTGTTAATATAATCTTGGGGCCTGAAATAGCTCAACAATCTAGGAGGAATTCCACAATGTGAGTTCGTTCCTTGAGTAGGCACTCGTAGGCATGATTGAAAAAAATGTAACAATTATCATAAAATTTAATAAGTGTCCAAACTAGGAAGGAACTTAAATAAAGATTAAAGTTTAAATACAAATAATAATGCTATTCATTGTTCTGTGCACTATTTCAAGAAGCATCTAAATCTCAAAAGAGTAAGCAGCATTTGTTTCTCCCCTCATGACGTGCACCCTCTTGAATCCGCAAACCCCTAACTATGGACATCCAAATGAACATTCAAAGGATATCTATAATTGTCACAGCTGATGTGGAAAACATATTTTCATGTGTCTACCTTCTATATTGCATAAAATGTTGTTAAATAATATTCAGGATGGTATTATTATTTGTGGACAGTTTTGTTAGTCACCCAACAATAAAGTCATTTGAATTGCTATTCATTCTTCCTTTAGGCACTCACAATATATTGTGATGAGAACATAACGGCCTTTTTTAAAAGAACATACAAGTAGAACCTAAATTTCAATTTAATAAATTTTAAAACTTGTATGAGCCTTGTTCTGACCAACAAACATAAAATATACTCTTATTTATATAAAGTTGAACTTTAAACATAAAAAATTAAATATGTTTTTATAGATGTAGAAGGCTATTATGTCCTGTATAAACATAGGAAGTGTGTCTTAATTTTTCACTATTCTGAACACTTAACGCAAGACCGTTTAAAAACTCATTTAAATATAAAAAGCAAGTTGCACTTTATTATTCTCTAATTGCTCTTCTGAAACAAGCTAATATTTCTCCGGCAAAGTCAAGACATATTAATAATTTACTTTCAACTTTGAACATTTGTCTAATGAGCCGTCATATGAAGCATTAAACGTCGACAGAAATCCTCGAGAAATAGTATGTACTATATATATAAAATTTGAGTTCCCTCATTGTCAAGAAGTGAATGTCTCTCAGCTGCCAAGTGGCAGCAGCAGCCGCAGAATCAGCAACAAAAACAACAACAGCAACAACAACAATCGCCCATTACCATTTGTGGTTGCAATAACATGGCCAACTATGCGCAGTTTAGCAAAATAATAAAAATATAAAATCTAATTACATGCGAGACGTCATAGTCAGCAGAGCTTCTGCAGACGAGATTTTTTATATTTTTCGTACCCACAACAAACAATTTTCCAATTGAAGCGTCCTTTCTAAAAAGCAACAACAAAATACAAACAAAATAAATAAAATCTGCAGTCTTTCGATTTTGTGTTTTAGATAGTAAACGAAAGGAAAACAACAACAACAGCAGCAGCAGCAACAATAACCGAAAAATCACATTTAAATTACGTATACGCCGCGTGTTGTGCTACTTACATACAACAACAACAGAAACAACAACAAAACTCACAGACATCATGGCAGCAGCTCCAACAACAAGAGCGAACAAATCACTACAGCAGCAGCAGCAACAACAACAACAACAACAGCAACAGCAGAAGCAGCCGCAGCAGCAGCATCTTCATCTGCCACAAGCTCTGCCCCCGCCGCGCTTCCCCCTCATGGCCGCAGCTTGTGCCGTCGTCGTCGTGTTTGGTCTGCTGCTGGCAGGGAACTGTGTCAATGGGGTGAGTTGAGCCGTCGGATCGGGTGAATGGTGGGTTCGATGGGCGCCACATTTGCCGCGGGGTGGCAACAAAACACGAAGAAAACTTGTAACTACTTATTTGGGTCTTGGCTTGTGATTTTTTCGGGGATTTTTTCTTTTTTTTTCATACTGTTGTTGGCCGTCCCTTTGCAAAGAGATCGCGACGTCTGCTGCCATTTGTTGTCGATTTGTCTATTTATTGCCTTTTTGTCAATTATCTGGCTTTTATCGTACCGATTTGATGTTTTCATTACGCTCATAAATGTTTACGAGCCTGGGAATTGGTTAGCTATGGGAGTACATGCGGGTATGCAATAAAAGATTTATTAAATATTGCATAACTCATTAATTGAATTGCCAGAACTTGAACAAGAGAAGACAGACAAATATTTGACGACTTCATTCGGTCGTTGCATGTGTGAATCGGCAGAGCAACAACAATTGGCCATATCATGAGCAACATGACCAGCAAAGCCCACAAAAAGTGTCATCTTAGATAATTTCTACACTTATTCAAAGTAAAAGATTGCGCACACCATTTGTCTCTTGTTTGATAGCGATCTACAACAACAGCAACAACCTTAAACAAAAGCAAACAAGAGGCTCCCACGCAAAGTTGCAGCCATAGTCGCGTCAGTGGCAGCAGCAGCAACAACAGCAACAACAATAGCCCAATGGCTGCAATTGTTGCCACAAAAATAGACCAAAACTGCACTTTTTTCTTCTGCCATGGCAAGCGGCGATTTTGCAAGTGCAGGCGATGCCAACAACAATACCAACAACAACAACAACAAAGAGGTAGACGACGACGACGACGGTCTGTCTGCGAAGTGTTAGACATCTTCTCACGTCTGCAACACTACGAACACATCCAAAATAAAAACCATTTCGATCAGGCCGAAGGTGTCGTCACCGTTTGCTTTTTATTTTTCCTGCGTCTGCTTCGTTTTCATTTTTATTTTTATTTCGGTATTTTTTTTATCAATTAGCCTTGGTGCCCTATGTTTGTGCTGCAAAACAATAACAACAATGGCAATTCCAATGACCATAAAAGAAAACTAAAAGAAAGGAAAATTGCCCACTAAGCGTTGCCTTTTAGTCAGGCAGTGGGGCAGAGTCCACAGCAAATGGTATTTACGAATAAATAGCGAAATTTGTTGCGGAAAATGTGCCGCTCGGTTTGTAGAGCAAAACATTGCACAGCTCCATCACCATGGTGATGGATCATCATCATCATCTACATCATCTTCATCATCACCATGAGCAGCAGAAGAGGCAACTGCTAAAGGTTCAACGAGGGTTCAGGTGCCCAGGCACTGGGCGGAGCTTTCAATCTTGTTGTTGTCTTACAGTTGCAAATGCTAAAACTACATTTAAGTTATAAGCATGAAAATTGCAATAAAATAGTCTTTATAGTATAATAAAAATGCTTAAGGCAGGGGACGATTATGGACAAGTATAAAAAGAATTCAGGAGCTAGTCTTATAATTTAGTTAGCCCGTGGTGGTTAGAAGAAAATAAACTGCAAAGCTCATTAGCAACAGAAAATGTCGTATTAAAATAAAATAAAATAGTTCGGTAACAAAATAAGACGTCGCGACTAACAAAATAATACAACTACATATATATTAAAAAATATAAATTTGATAGAAAGGTCAGCAAGGCAATTTTTTTATAAATCAAGGAATTTTTATATTGTATTGAAAATATTTGCCTATCTCTTCTTGCTTCATTCTAAGCAATTGATTAGAATTGTTCAAAATAATTATTAAACATACATAAGCCAGATTTGTAAGAGCAATTATTTTGTTGCAGATATGAATAGCAAACGTTTCTCTAACTCAAGATCTGAGGCAATATTTCTACGATATTTGTGGGACTAGACGAATTAGGTCTTCAGGAGAAATTCAACAGAAAGTTATAAAACAAGAATACAAATTATTTATTTATACCCGTTTCTTCATAGTTTCATATTAAGGCAGGTTCTTGGTCTGAGTTAGTAGTCCGTAGTGTGTTGACTGTAAACGTATACCGGTTAACTGAGACTTTGATATCCTCTTCAGAAGAAGTCTTTTATATATTTGAAGGAAAACCTAACAATAATTTATTTACTTACGACCTGTTTTATTTCTTTACCTATTTGCATGCAAAACAATTGAATCCAACCCATGCTTTAATTATAATTCACAATAAGTTAATTTACAAGTATTTAAAATAAATTAAGGCTAGTTAACAGGGTATCCAAAGGGTAGAACATTTTAATCTTTTAGAAGCCTTTTACCATTAATAATTTGTTACAAATTCTTTAGCTAATTAACTTTGCATATTTGAACAAACAAACAAGAAAACTAATGAACTGAAAGCTAAACGATCAATCAGCTTAAGAACCTTATGAATTAAATGGCTTCGTATCAGAAACTAATGAATAAAATGAAATGCTAAATTTAATTCTATTTATGACTTTTTTAAATGTAACTATTATATCGGTTTAAATATTCCATGTACGTACGCGTAGTAATACAAAATCATTTATAACTGATAAATGGGAACATTCCATTCTGATACAATATTTGTCTGCGCATTAGACTGTAGAAGCTATATATTTTTAAGGAGTAATTACTCACCCATAAATATTATCAGCACTATTTAGAAACCAGTTCTCTGTTCAATTATTTCCAAACAGTCCAAGGCTCTGTCTTACACAACTTCCCTGAAAACAGAAATGCAGAAATACTCGTAAGCCACAAAACAATTAAAAACTTAATTAGTTAACTGTCACATTTTAAGAGCATTATCTGACAACCATAATGGACCACATATCGTATATAGTATAGTACACTGACAAGACACACACACACACTTGTAAATATTCATGGGAGTGCGAATGACACACACTTGTAAATATTCATGGGAGTGCGGCGAATGAGATTTTTGCCACACGCAACGCAGGCAGGCAGTAAAATTTATTGAAGCGCAACGCAGTTATTAAAAAAAAGGGCAACAAATAACAACAACAATAACAACAGCAAAAATTGTATATAGATTGAAATTGAAGCAAGATCAAGATAGTTGGATATAGCACGACGTGCAACATGCTGCACATTGCACAAAGCCAAGAGGAAAGCCAAGAGCTGCGGGAATGATGTTGTTTATGCTGATTATGCAGATGATAGCCGTGATCAGCAAGATGATGATGATGATGACGATCGTGATGATGGTGATGATGATGATGATGGCGATGGCATAAACAAACAAAACAAAAGAATAAAGCATGGCAAATGGCACACTGTCAAAAAGGGGATTTATGGGTGAGTGGAGGCGGAGGATGATGATGACGATGATGATGACTGACGTTGCCTTTGCCACGCTTTGTTGCTGTTGTTGGTTTGCTTTTAGGCTGCTTTTCATGGTTTCATACGCATGAGATTGACAGTTGTTTGTATTCTAATTGTCACACACACCCACACACTCACACACACACACACACACACACATATGTACACTCATTTACAACTTAATGTACTGCAAGTGCACATTTTCAACACTCACTGATTCTTTTGTTGGGGCCGCCGCATTTTCGACAGATTTTTCGGTTTATGAATTTGCATTTTAAATGAATTTTGGTTTTCACATCTATCTATATAGCATGTACTCCTATTATGTTTGTGTGTTGAGCAATTGTCTCTCTGTTATTTGTTATTGTTTAGACACAATTTTGTGTGCAATCTGTTGTTTGTACTTTGAGGCTTTTGGCATGATTCTAATGTGCATAACTTTTGGGGTCGCTTGGGCAATTCAATGAAGGTCGCGACACACACAAAACTGAGCTGAGATAATTCACACACTCTCCCATACAAGTAATTTATTCTAAGATTGTATTTTTGCAATTCTTTTTTTCATAGCAAATTGATGGTTACACAGCGGGCGAGGACTATCCCGCCTATGAAACAGTACCGAAGGGTCTCTCCTTTAACTGCCAAGGACGTCAGCCAGGCTATTATGCAGACACAGAGACGCGTTGTCAGGTAAGTGAGTTTGTTCACAATGAAAAGAACAGCTTACATTTCTCTGTTCGCTTAGGTCTGGCACTGGTGTCTGCACTCTGGACATCAATACTCCTTCCTCTGTCCCAATGGCACGGTCTTCAATCAGGCTGTTCGAGTCTGCGATTGGTGGTCCAATGTTAACTGCGAGAGTTCCGAGCAGCTTTATCAGAACAATGACGAATTGTATCGCATTCCCGAACGCAACCAGCAACAGCAGCAAAGCGATGTATGATATAAGGCTGATGATGAGTATAAGATTGGGACTAAAACAGCAACAACAGCAACTGAGAACATGAATGCGAAGATTAGACAAAGAGGCGGCAGACAGCGACAATTTCTGGCACAAAAGAGCAGCAACAGCAGCAACTATAGAAACAACAATAGCTTAGATAGTAACAACAACAACAAGTTGCAGTCACAGCAAATAGCGAAGGGCGATGGCACAATACACAGCACACACAACTACAATCAAATGACCAAAAATAGTTTTAGAGGCAATATGCGATTCAACAAGAATAACAGCAACAATTCCAATCAGCACAACTCTCAATCGTCATACTCATCATCACAGCAGCAGCAGCAACAACAACAACAACACCATAGTTCTAGTAAAAATAGTGAATACCAACATAGAGGAAATAGCAGTAGAACCTATAAGCAACAGAATAGTAGTAGAAATAGTAATAGAAATAATAGCACTAATTCTCGCTTTAGCATAGCCCAGCATCCAAATAGTGTAGGCAACAATAATAGGCATAGAAATCGCACCTCAATCAACAATCAGCGTAACAACAGCTACAACAGCAAGCGTGGCGGACAACGTCATAATGCCAATAAGTTCGAGAACGATGACGAGCTCAAGGATTACAAGAGTAAAATCAAGAATAAATATAACATCGATTATGATCATTCTTTAGACGAAGAATATGAAATAATTGAGGCCATTGAGTAAAGCTCGTGGAGATTCAATCAGAGAATCAATGTTATAGCTTTGTAGTTGTTGTGAATGCATGAACAACCTCCATTAATAATAAGGTTATACCACCTTTTTATACTAATTCACTACTGTTTGTTGGTGATGTTGTACAAAATCATCATTCCCTCTTTAAATTGGCGCCACTTTGTATTGTATTTTCATTCAACTGCACTCATTCGTCCTCAAATTAACATGTTTCCCAAAGCTTCTTCCATTGTAAATACTTTACAAAATGTTACACACAAACAAAAATCACTTTTCATTATATTATATGCATACCCACACCATTTCAAATGTACCTTCAACATTAATTTTGCTCGTGATGTAATAAAAATTAAAATATTAAAAAAAATATTAAAATTGTAATTTGTTTTCGTTTATATGCAGCCTACTTTTAGGCACAGCAACGAACTTTCGCACGTATAACTATCGGTAAGGCAGTGCTTTTGCTATTTTTATGCAAGCCAATAGCATTTTATTACTCCATATAGTGTATATTAATATATATATTCCTCAGTCTGAAAAACATATTTATAATAAAATGAAACGAATAGCTAATTTATAAACACAAGTCCATTAATTGGATGGATTTTCCATGCAAAAAAAAGCGTCACTTTAGGGCCACCCCGGAATAACTGATAACTTAGACATCCAATACAAATAATTTGGACGAAGAAATTTAAATAATTTATTGGAGATTCACCGACAAGCATTCAAAGATAATCCTAAATAATGCTTACGTTTTCTAATAAAAATACAAATGGTCCCCAAAAATAAGTAGGAAATTAATAAATGGGACATAGGTGTGGAAAGACCAGTCCGACAGTCCAATGACAAATATAGTCAGATATTTTATTGTTTTTCTTCGAAAGAAAAAGTATTCTCCTCTTCGGAGGTCCAGTTTGATTTGTTTAAAGATCCTCAATAATAAATCGAATTTAATCTGAACGACTTAAGCTTGTAAGCTTATTGACAAGAGCAAAGCTTTCAGCTGTCCTTGTCTGGCATCAACAAACACACTATTCATCTCTTTTACGCACGAGGCATTAAAAGCACAACCGAGTTAGCGTATTTGCATTTAAAGCTCTGCTTTAAGATCAGCTGTTGATCAGGTGGCTAACAAAAAGCTTTTCATTGGAAGGTGTCTTTCCAGTTGTCAAACTCAGTTTGTTTTTATCGTGTTTTATTGTTTACTTCATAATACAAGGAAATAAATCTTAATAATTCTCAATGCGGTGAGTATTCATTATATTTCTATTTTTATAGTTGTCTAGAGCGCTTTTGGCTGAAACTATTAAATGTTTGGGACAATGCAGTTGATTGAAATCTGAAATTATGAAAAACGTGGCAAGTCCACAGCAACTTTTATGCATAAGAAATATACATGCAAATTAAATTGGAGCACAAATATTTATTTTAAATTATATTCGTGAGATAAAATGCTGAATACCCTAAAGGTTGGATGATTTGTTGCCTTCAGTTGATTTTTGAGCTTCTCATTTATCCACTTAAATTATTTAAGAAGACATTCATCCATACACAATGTTGACTATTTCCTCACTAATTTGAATTAAAATTTGAATCGCTTTATTTCCAACTGTTAAGTGATATAAGCACCTAGCTTTGATTTATGCCTTGGCCCATTAATTTCAGTTTCAGTAAGCATTTAAACTGCTCCAAATGTTTTTCTCATTAAGTCTACACCCACAAACACAAAAAAAAAAAACCCAAAACACTCTACATGTCGTATATGGATTGCTCAACGAACCCAAATGACTGCGGAAACACAAAACTAAGCGAAACATTTGCCTGGGCAACATTTAGGTACCGGTTTTACGGCTCGTAGCAACTTAATTAAAAGTCAATTTCAATTTTCGTCATTACCCTAGCCAAGTGACACAATTTGTACAATTAGCGCGTCTAAATGCGTGTCAGCAACTGCTGGCCAACTGGCCAGTATGGCCCTTAACAAAATACCGTTGATGATAATCATACTCACATATGCACGGGTATCTACACGTACTATGTATATAACTATTCCTATGTATGTATGTATATTTGTGCATACCAGTGGAGATTACTAATGGGCTAAGCCCAAAACGAAGCAGCTATACTCTTACATAACTTTTTGAGAGAAGTTTATATCCACAATATTAGATATTTATTGTTATGTATGTTTATGAGAATTATTTTTTAAAATTATAAACATAACCCAAGAAATGTTATTTGTTGTACTGCCTTTTTTGAGTCGATTTATCCCTGACTTATATATAGTATTTTATTGTAAGAAAATGTCTTAGGTTTAACTATCTTCTATCAGCAATTATCTCTCTCCTCTTCATTCTTATTATATTTCTATAAAATATATATACTTATGAATATTTTACATATATATTTATTATATAGACTACATATGTATATCTATGACATTATGTCTTTGATGTGTTACAAAACTCAGACTAAAGTGCCAATACTCTTGGGTTTAAAGTAAAAACCGCCTCAGCAACGTTTGCTTTGGTCAATTTCTTGTTGTCGTCGTTCATTCACTGATCACCCACATATTAAGGGGTTATTGCGAACAGCAACAGCAACAACAACAACAACTGGGTCATTTGCATTATGTAAGCGATGTTTCTTTATTTTTTTTAAATTTTATTGTTACGGTTTATATCTTGAATTTTCATGCGATCGGCCGCATTAATTAATATGCAAGTAAATAATTTACAATGTGACGCGAATTTTATGCAGATGCCAAAGCTGTCCGCATATACCAAATGATTTTATTAATTTAAGGTTGAAGTTGACCGAAACAAAATGTTGAAATTGGACTCTTAATAAATTAAGAAAAAATATAATTGCTTTTAACATGCAATTTCCATTTTAAGCGCAACTGTATTTTTTTACATTTATTTTTATATTTTTTTGTACTTTTTTGCTTAACGTGAAGAAAATGTCAGAAGGTCTTCAAGGTGTAGTTTAAAAACCGGTACAGTAGGCAACGAACATAAAATACATACCTAAATATATGCATACAGTAGATAATAAAAATATGTTGACAAGCAGTGACTAGCAACAAATTAATATTATAGCAACAGAAACATTGCTTCATTGTACTCGACGCCCGCATGTTAAAGGTGTATTTGGAATTCGATGGATGTTTGTTTGGTTCATCCTAAAGAGTATAAACTTTACCAGTGTCTTAGAAAGCATAAAAGTCACAGCTAAACATAGTCCAAGAAGCACAAAAACCCAATTTGTATGCACATTCATAAGCCCTTTCCTTAACTATAACAACCAAACTAATATGCACAGGAAGTTGGGTATTTTTTTGGCCAGACCTTAAAATCAAGCAAAACATGCTTGGTACGGGCTTAGCATTTAAAATTTACAAAAAATAAATGTAAAAATTGTTTAATCATTTGACCAAACAGCCTGTATCCAAGTTAAAATTTGTATGATTTTGAAGAAATAAAAACTTCAAGATTAGAAATCTAAGATTTACTATTTAAGTTTTGATTACATCATTAAACATTTCAAATAATTAGTTTCCTTCTGCAAAAAGTCTTTCTTTTTATGCCCTGTACCTAAATATTTGTTGGTTCTAGAGGGGTTCCATTTACTTTCGTCATCTAGTGTGTGTACGCATAACTATCCACTTGAAGCATCTTCTCGGTTTCTTCGAAATCTTCTGGTTTATTTGCCCGAACGCTGCGTAGCTTGTCACTTGTCGTCATTGTTGGTATTGTTGTTGTTGTAGTCTCTGGCGTTGCCGTTGCCTCTGAAGTTGCCTGTGCTAGAGGATTGGATGCGTCCGTCTAGTTTACGGGGCTTTTCAACTTGCTATTTGAGTTGGCGTTGCTGTCGCGTCTGCCAGTGTCTGGCCTTCTTTGTGTGGCAGTGTATGGATGGATGGTACCTGAATTGTTGTGTATTTTTCTGCTCATTTTATGCGACAATTCAACTTCAACATTTACATTTTTCACGGCACTCGCCGCGCAGGAAGAAACAGACTCACGCATCTCAGCTCATCATCCATGTCCAGCCCCCAGTCGGCGACCAGCGAAGGCAATCCACTTCATATTGTGCGACTGGTTTTTGCATTTACCATCGCCTTTTTCGTGCATTTAAAATTAATGTTATATATTTTGTTTGGCTTTTTATTTGGCATGTCTTGAAACTGCGCACACGCACCAGCAGAGAGTCTTATTGCCGTAGAGCCAAAGCTTCGAGGAGACCAAAGAGTTCGAAGAGACCGAGTGTCCGTCCATGTTGACGTTGATTTGTGTGCTTAAAGTAATTGCTGCGATTATCAACTCAGTTCCGAGCACATACAAATCGTAAGGTTAAGTAGATTTCGTTAAGCGATTGTCAAGTGTATTTAACATGTGGAGATGCAAGTTTTTTTTTTTTTTTTTTTTTTGAGTTAGTCGTTAAAGAGGCTGCCATCTTTTCTTTGTATTTTCAAATCATTGACATGGGTGGGGCTTTTAAGTGCAGTTGTTCATCTCAGTTTACTGACCATGGCCTTGCCTTCAGATGACAAACAGCACTGTCAATACAAAGAAACAGATTACAAGGCCACAAGTCCCCTAAATAAATCACATACTTACAACAGAATGCTTTTTGTCCAGAGTAAACAAATTTAATAAGTCTTACAATGATGATTTTTCTTCACTGGAATTAATATCCTACATAGTATTGAACAAATAAAGAATCATTTAGAGTAGCAAGTTTTCAAATGCCAATTTTTAAAATCAACTTAATTTTGCCCTGAAAAGAAACTTTTTCTAATATGGGATCATTTTTCGATCAAATATTTTATTCTCGTATAAAATTTGAGAAATAAATTACGAATTTATCGTGGATTTTTCAGTATAATGAACACATATTTTATTTGATTAAATGTTTATTGTACTTTTTTTTACCACTCTTTTAAATTAAAAATCTTTACGCGTGTATATACTTTTATTTTTTGTTATAATCTATACTGGCTGATTGCAAATAAATTATAAGAAAAAAAATCAAAAGTATAATACAGCTATTAACCCATCTTAGCGCGCATTGAATGCTTAGAATGTATTTGTAAAATGAAGGAGTTTGTCTTCCATTTTAATTATTAGCTATTCATTAAACGGCAAAATCCATGTATAGCCTATAATCTTCAGCCCAATCGGAACCGCCTACTCCTCTAATTAAGCTCTCCAAATTCCATTTGCCAATCCAATTTGCCTATTCATTAAAATATTATTATTATTTACAGCCCAGCCCCTTTCCCATTCAAATGAAATTCCAAAAATTTCAGATTATAAATTCGTTGCGAGCCCATTAAAAATTAATTTAAAATCAAATTTAAAACACTATTTAACTTTTTTTTTGCTAAATATGTGTGTTTTTTCAGTTTTTACATTTTTACAGCTCACAGTAATAAAAGTAATTTAAATACTTTTTACAATAAAACGGTGCACGGCGATGCTGATTAGAAAAAAGCAACAACAGTGAGAAGAACAAAAACAAAAAGCGATCGCAGCATGTAAACAAATTCGACAACGCACGGCAAATTAACATAATTAAGGTGCGCGCATAATGATCAAATGACAACGTGAGAGATATCGATATTGAAACCGAACGCAGAGGCAACAACTAAAAGTACAACAACAACAACAACCACAACAGCATCAGCGCTCACACACATGAAGGAGCATTGTCAAAAGCCGACATCATTGTACAACAAACAGAAAACAAATAAATAAAATAAAAGGCGCTGCAGTCAAAAGGCCAAAAACTGGAAATCATCAACACTATAATATGCAAATGAGTTACACTTCACGACACCAATAACAACAACAGCAACAGCAACAACAACAGCTGCAGCAGCAGCAGCAACAGCTGTAACAACACCAACAACGACAATATTAGTAACAAAGACTGGTGATGACGATGACATTAGCAGCACGGTAACTTGGTGGGTATCTGACAGGCGCGAAAGCGAAATGTGCATCTTCGTCACTAAATACTAATACGCTATTGAAAAATCAATACACAAAAACTACAACAGCAGCAACAACAACAAGAGCTGCCGCATAGTGCATTGCATAAGCCACACGCGTTGTGAGGTGAGACCGACAATCAACAAACGACGGCGACGACCACGACGACGACCTCATTTTGAAAAATCGCAATCGTCGCGCATTGACAAGTGAGCAAAGCAGCAGCGGCAGCAGCACCAACAGTCAACGATTGAGGAGCGTCAAACGAAGCCGAAACATAACAACAACAACAACAACAACAGTAATAGCAGATGATTCAAACAACATTCATTTGTTTGCATTTGAAAGCAATTTGTGTGTGCGCGCTCGACTCGGCTACTTGGCTACCGACATTCGCCAATTTGCATAAAAACTCAAACTTCAACTCCAACTCCAACGCATGCCCCGACACCAGAAATTGAACCTCAACTTCACAAACTCAAGTGAACTCGGCATTACGTATACGCAACGTGTGACCAGGCGGCAGACAGGCACAACAACAACAACAACAACAATAACAACATGCACTTGCTGGACTTGCTGAGTCAGGTGTGTGTCAATATCTTTGACATTTTCAAAATCTACCTCAAGTTCGCATTCATCACGCTGGTCATTTACTTTGTGGCCGAATGGTATGTTCTCCGCTATGGAGCCGAGCTTGAGGCTCAGCTGGATGCCGCCGTCGCGGCTGAGGCCAGAGGTGCGGAGCGGCCAGCCGCGAACAGTACACTGAACAAGGTGTATCGATTCATATTGAACTTTTTAATTGCCTAAATCTCTTTGCGCCGAAAAAAAAAGTAGTTTGATCAAGATTCGATTGTTGTCGATTACATAATTAATGAATATTTATGTAAATAAGGCTAAGAAGACTAACATAATTCATTCACTAATTTATAAACGTCGCTCCCAAGTCACTAGAGATTAATAGCTTGGGCTTGAAAATACTATATGAGACGATGTTAAGGAAAATTAAACCCATTAATGTTGAAATATTCTCCTCAAAGTTGCTATTATTTCTCAATATTCTGATAAGACTTTTTGATTTCAATTCAGGCCAAGTGATCTGTTTACAAAGTGGTTTTGTGCAGTGCAAGATCCATGGCACATGATGTGAGCTGCTGATAGCTATTGAAATGTTTATATAATAGAACCGATAATCGGGACCATAAAACAGTAGAACCACAAATGAAAAATTACCCCATCAAGAAACTGCTGATGCTCCTGATGTAATCACACACTAATAATATTTAGCAATAACACATATTTTTGGATCAATACACACAAAAATATATGTGTTTTTATAATACAACAAGAGAGAACGCTACAGTCGAGAAAGGGGGGGTTGCACTGGAGAGAATTTGTATCTCTAATAACTTTTCTTAGAATTGACCGAATTGAATAAAATTTTAAACAAGAGTAGATAATTATTTATTAATTATGTGTGCACTTGTGGACGCTATTGACGAAATTCTGTAGCGGGGAAAGGGGGGAAAATTAGAAAAAAAATATAAACTCGTCCTTTCTCGGACCTAGGAGAACCTGGATGCCAACTTTGGTTATTCTAGCTTTTATAGTTTCTGAGATCCTTGCGTTCATCCAGACGGACAGACGGACGGACGGACGGACATGTCTAGATCGATTTCTGTCGACATGCTGATTCAGAATATATATACTTTACTTTGCACAAACCTTGTATACCCTTTTTACCCTACGGGTACAAGGTATAAAAACCACAGGCTCTGCCTATAAGTAAACATTTCTTGTGGGTCACATCTGTACAGTTGATAATTTTAAAAATATTTTTTAAATTGATTAAATAAAACGATTCTATTTTATAAGAACATAAAAAAAGGCCGTTTACTATTTTTTTAAGTTTTTTAAATTAAAAACGGAACATTTTAATAAATAAAAACAAATTACAATAAAAAATGTTGGCATCTTCTTCATTTTCATTATTTGCAGAATGTATGTGTCTCCCAAATTTTCTACAGTGTGCTTTTAGGTTGGTAACATTTGTGGCTTTGTTTGGACATGTATGCCCTGCACATAATTATATGTACTATATCTACACAAGGTCGATTTAACGCTTGAAAATCGGCTCCAAATCAATTGAATTATTCCTTTCGCAAAGCGAACAGAAACAGTTGCGGAATTGCAGCAGTTGTTGGCACTTGCCAGCCACCAAGGCCTGAAGAGAATGTAAACCTCAACCAGTTCAAATCAGGCAGCAAAAACATTCTTTTAATGTAATTACTGGCATAAAGTATCAGAAAATAAAAACAAAACGGCAAAACATATAAAAACAAGTTGAACTGCTTTTGGAATTGAACGAGCAGCACACGCCCAACACACACACACACACACACACACACACACACACACAAATGCAAATCACTGGACAATACACAACAAACACCCCTGAGACATTAAAAAGCGACGACTACAGTAATGGCAGTTGCGGCGACAAAACGCTGGGGGCTTCAACTTTAAGCCAAGTTAACACATTTTGTATACGTTTTGTTCTTTCACGTTTTAACGGTTCACAAATTATTTGAAAATGACTCAAACCGCTTGACAGGGTGTGTGCACAGCCCGTTGAAGCGATTTCAAAAATCATTATGCAACGGAATTGGGGCAATTGTTTTTGCAGCACCACAAGAAAAACACAACCAAGCTATAAAGCTATATACTATAAGACATTGTGAGAACTTGTGAGTTGCAGGCGTTGGCGTTAAACAAATGATTGCTACTTATTTATGGATAACAATGGATTTTGCATTTTGTTAACCACTATGATTTGAAAACAAAATTCTGATTTGCTTTTTCGGGTAACGATTGCTCACCATTGCTGGCCATTAAAATGATAACAAACTCTGCACAGATGTAGTAACTTTTTAATTATGTTCTAAATTATTATAAATTATAAAAAATGGTTTAAATAAATATAAGCATAACACGAAAGGAAAGGATGTAGTATGTAAAGACCTAGATTTCAGAACTTGGAAAAGGATTTACAAATGCGGACCTACAAATGCGGAGCGAATTAACTTTGCCTGTATTTGAATGAATGAACAATTCGAATAAAATGAAAGTAGAAACAAATCAGTAAGTTGCTATTAATGCTAAAAATAAATATAAGCAGAACACTGATTTTTCATGGAGGGATGTATCTAAAGAGCTAGATTTCAGAACTTGGAAAGGGATTTACAAATGCGGATTTACAAATGCGGATTGAATTAACTTTGCCTGTATTTGAGTGAATGAAGAATTCGAATAAAATGAAAGTAGAAACAAATCAGTAAGTTGCTATTAATGCTAAAAATAAATATAAGCAGAAAATTGATTTTTCATGGAGGGATGTATGTAAAGAGCTAGATTTCAGAACTTGGAAAAGGATTTACAAATGCGGATTTACAAATGCGGAGTGAATTAACTTTGCCTGTATTTGAATGAATAAACAATTCGAATAAAATGAAAGTAGAAAAAAATCAGTAAGTTGCTATTAATGCTAAAAATAAATATAAGCAGAAAATTGATTTTTCATGAAAAGATGTATAAAGAGCTAGATTTCAGAGCTTGGAAAAGGATTTACAAATGCGGAGTGAATTAACTTTGCCTGTATGTGAATGAATGAACAATTTGAATAAAATTAAAGTTGAACTAAATTAGTAAGCAGAAACAGTAACTTTGTGCAAAATTATGGGGAAATACCATATTTAAATGGCTATATTTTAACTATATGCAAACTAAGTTTTCTCAAATATATAAGAGAAGTTATAATAAAATTGTATGCCAGTTATTTAATTTTGAATAAAGTACTATATGAAGGTGATTAATGAAATATCTGACTTATACTAATCAGAAAAGTTGCAACCACAAACTCGAGGAGTCGCAAATAGCGGATAAATGATCTTCCCACGCCATCTCATCGCACTGAGGCGTGAATTAAATAGACAGCGCCATGCGGTGTTGTTAGACATTCGTTGAAGGTAAGTGCCTGTTACTTTTGCCCAAAGAGGACTAGAAAAGATCATATCTGGAGTAGATTTAGGAAATGCTAAGCCTATCGTGCTGTGGAGTTGTTCGGCAGACGTTTGCCTCATCATGCCAGCCCTCAGATTGCAGTTTCCACATGGCTGCATGAAATTGTTGCAGCCGCTGGCCGAAAACGACTTAAAGTACAACCAGCGATTTATCATCGCGGCAAAACGAGCGTAACGAAATCTTAACTGGTCGCAAGTTAAGTAGTTACAACACGTATACGTACTACCCAACTAATGTGGAATACCGGTTCGAGCTCGAGCACACGAGCAAACCCACACAGATGCCCTGTTGCTCCCGTTCTCACAAAAGTGCAGCGGGCTGCTTAGCGGAGCTCCACAGATAAGTGCAATGTAAAAACAAAAAAAAAAAAAAACGGATTGCAGGCATACGAGTACGCAGCGAGCGATAAACAAACACGAGTCGGCACTCGACTGAACAAGAGACTAACTTGCAATTCCGCATGCTGGCGGTGTCGGCGCTTCTATGGCTTACTAGCACTAGCACATACATACATATGTAGACATTGGTATACATACATAGATATGTGTGTATATATGCCTGGCACTGTTCCAATTTGAATACAGAGCGGCAGTAACAGTTACAGTTAAGTGTAGCATTTGGCGCATGCGCGACCAACTTGATGGCGACTCGCAAAGCCACAGCAATTCAACTTTCACATGCGCCTCTGTCTGTGTACGTAGATGCAGTGCATTGGAGTACTTTATGTGTCTGTGACGTAATAAACCCACTCACACACACACACACAAATTTTCATTCACTTACTCACACAAACAAAATCTGAAGTCGTTTGGCACTTAAATATGCCATAATCCGCAGTTACGACAACAACCATCGACAACCACACTTTGAGTTCGAGTTCAGCTCAGCAGCTCAGCAGCTCAGCAGCAACTGCTGTTGATTGATTTCTTTATGAGCTGCTTTAAATGATTATCATTATTTTGCATTCAGTCTGTCGATTTTTAAGTTACTACATTTACGTTATGCCCAAATTCAAAATGGGCCCCACCAGAAATGCCTACAAATAAAAATTTAATTGGACGCGCACCACGCCGCGTATACGCAATATTTCATGAACCGCTTTAACAATTGTCTTTGCCCAGCCATATGCCAGCAACAACAATTCTTATTGTTGTTGTTGTTTTTACTCATGTGCGACTGTGTGACTAATGACGGACGTTGTCGTTATCGGTCGCCGGTTAGGTGGTCACTGAATTTTCAGCCCATAGCTGTTGACTTTTGATTCATTAAATGAATTGGATGTTGTTTGTTTGTCGGAGTAATTTGTTTTGCTATTGTTATTATGTCATTTCGGTCAGCAAAACAATAGAGAGATTAATATGCGCAGGGGCAGTAAACGCTTTGATTAATCATTAACGGATCAGTGATACAGTTATAGGCGCATTAATCAAAAACTATCGATTTGTATGCTATGCCTTAACAAGAGTAAAAAGAGTTGCACATGTATATAAAATTTTACAACCCACAGCAACACTTTGCGAAAATGAAAAAATCATGTTAAAAACTAATTAGATTGTGGCTATTTGTATGTAAGTATCTCTAAACGCTTGTTCAGGAAATTATTAAAACAAATTATAAGAAATGATATCATGATTACCTTCCTATATTTCATGCTGGAAATAATAGCTGTTTGAATTGTAAAAAATTCATAACCATTATTTACTACATCAAATGATGAGAAAATCTTTGAACCACAACCTTTTTATCATGAATTAGGCCTTACATTTAATGACTATATCTATACGAATATATTTTATTTATATATATATACTTGTATATATTTAAAAAGTATACAAATATAATAAACTAAATATAAGAACTGTACTTTTTAACCTAAATTACTTTTTAAAAAAACTATTTATCTTCTCATTGCTATCAGTGAAAGAAATGTGAACTTCGTATAAATATTATCATAAATATTATTATTGAATTATTATTAAAAATAATTATGTGCCTGTATCCCCTCTCAAGGAATAATCCTTGGTGCTAGATTGTTATAACAACAGGTTTATTAATATTTACAGTCTATTCAGCAGTGAATATTATCGATCTATGTTCCTCAAAACGGTATATCAAGGAATCATTTAGGCTACGAGCAAATAGTTTTCGAGTATTTGTAACAAATTTGTGTTTAGTACTCGTAAAGTACCTACCTTGACTGCCAAAATATGCCAACAAAAGTTGGTAGAAACAATTTTTTTATTGTCTTCACTAAAAATACACTTTTAATGATGCCTTAAAATAGCTTAGATTTAATTCAATGAAGACAAATAAAACAAAGCGTTGCTGCAAATACGTCAA